GGAGGGAGGGTAAGGCAGAGTTGAAAGTGACCCCACCAGAGCTAGAATCTGCACCTTCAAATGCAGAGTCCACAAAGTTTGATGTTGGGCCACAATGGCTATCTTCTACAGTCGTAACATGCTATGATAAAAACTCATCTACTGATTATAATTACCCTCTCATATCCTGCTTCCATTTCCTCCATCAGTTCTTTATACCAGGGAGAAGATACCTGATCTTCGTAACAGCGCCTACAAATGAACTGCACTTCCTCTGGTAAGTCTGTCAGACACTCATACTGATCAACTGTGATTCCTTGACATTCTGCATGCACCCAGTGATCACACTTGACACAGTGAACCATTTTCGATTCAAAGTCATCATCAGAGTAGCATTTATCACAGAGGGGACAAAAGTTATTCTGTTGTCTCTGCTTGCCACATTCTTGACAGTGTGTGAATTCAAGCATCCACATAGCTTCAGGATTCTACAAGAAAAACAGTTCCCAGTTCTCAGTAAGTAGCAATTTCAGATGACTACAATGCTTTTTGTACACTGGCTTAATATGTCTGGATTACTATACTTAAAGGTGAAACTAAGGTTAAATGTAGAGAGCTGGATTTCAATTTAAAACAAAATTAGAAACTTACATCTCCAGCAGTTCTTCTCCCACAATTTTTGCACTGTACACACCGACCACACACCTGAAAACAAATCAAGCAAAATTGATGACATTACTGTGTGATCATACAAGTAAGGGTGATCCTGAAAAGGGGTGTTGTCAGAGACTCACATTTTGTCAACCTGAACTGGAAGTCATCATCAACATCAAGAAGAAACGATATAGTAAAGTTCTCCTTTTTTACATTCTAAGCTACACATTTATATCTAGAACCACTTTTAAGAACACACCACAAAAAAGTTATAAAAAAGATATTCTGTGATCTTGACAGCAATACAGAAGATGGTGTGACCTGTGAGTGACATTTAATCATGGAGTCTGATTGTCCATGCGAGAGTAGTTCTAAGCAGAAATGTTCAACAGTCTTGGTGGGAATCCTAATCAGAGTCCACAAAGGGTTGACTCTGATGATCACTTCTGTTAAGGTTGTCAAGGCGCTTGTCAGTACTATGCACAAAAGTCCTTAACAAGACTAATATCATCCCCATGATCAGACTACACCATAAAATCATGACAGTACATTCCATCTCAGTCCAACTGATGATTCCAGTAACTTAAATTTTACTCACCCAAACATCATCATCTCCCTCTGGCTCTGTGGGATAAAATGGACCTAGGCATTCAACATGATATCCACGCTGACAACGGTCGCACATCAGGAGCTGAAGCAAAACATCAAAAAGTGATTTAACAAAAAAAATGATTAAATGCAAGGTAATCATTAAAAAATATATGAAAGCTGATTTTTTTGTTTAAGGCCAGTTATCAAACCCATCCAAGAATTTTGATCTACATATACCAGGTTGAGCCCTTGTTCACCAATCAAAACCCCTCCTGCGATCAGTGCTATAATTCTCCTAGCAAACATCAACACATCACCTCAGAGACTAGTGTGGAGACTACAAAAACTGATCAACTATCAGATATTGTCTTGATTCAAAATCAAATTCTTTGTATTAACATACAAATAAATATACATACATAACAGTACACAGGGAGAATCAGTTCATTTTATAGTCACCTTGTCTTGATATCCACAAACACTACAACTGCTGCAGTTGTCACAACACCATGTTGTCTCATCAATTGGTTCTTCATCAAGACAGAATCCATGGAAAGGCTCAGAACAAACTCTGCAGTAGAACATCTAAGGAAATAGACAATAACAGTGAAAGCTCTGCAGGTGAGTTTCAATAAAAGAAATTGCA